CACTTAACAGAGCCTGTGAAAGTCCCCCCCGAGGGGCTGGGGTCGAGGAGGCGCGCTGCGGCGAGTCCCCAGCCTGGCAGCACGTTCGTACTCGCCGGTGCAAAAAGTGCATAGCACAGGGAAAGGAGGAGAGAGGGGGGAAAAAAAAAGCCTCCTTAGAAATACCTGCCTCTAGGTCCTCTAGCCAGCAACTGCAAAGTTTTTATCTGCAAACAATTATTTAAGGAATCCGGGGTGTTGCGCAGGGGCTGCTGCTGCGCTTGGGATGGTTGAAGGTAATGTTGGTGGCTCCCGAAGAGCGTGTGAAACATTCTTGTGAGGAAAATCAACCAAGGAGAAACTTTTCACTGTGGGGAAAGTTCTCTGGCTTTTAGAAATTGAATCCACAGCTAGTTTCAGTGTGTTTAGGTTAACTTTGATTAAGGTTTGCTTTGTTCTTTATCTCTAGCTTGTTATAGCCCCTCAGCATCATGAATAGCTGCATTAACTGAGTGCCACGGAGAACTTATTTTCACTTGCTTACTAGAAAATATTTCACGTCCTGCCAAGTTTTGGTGTAACCTGACAGAGCTGTTAGTCAAATGTGCTTAAAGGATCTGTCTGGTCACTGTCAAGTTAACTGTTTAATTGCCAGGTGAAATATTTAATATCAAAATGCCATTTATTAAGTGACTTAAAAAGCCGTATCAACGGACGGATACTTCAGAAAGAGTTGCAGCAGTTCAGAACAATGTGGATACATGTGCTTCGCATATGGCACTGCAGTGCTGTGCTTATGTGACAGTTTGAATCTCATCATTTCATACTGGATGCAGATGGTCCTCTTTCTCCCTCTGCAACTAGATCGGCTAAGTCTTTCTTACTGAGAATTTGCAGACTAAGTAGTTACTTTTTATTGTTATTTATTATTGTTCTGATAGATTTTCAAACCTGGCAACCGTAAGGTTTTGAATCTGTGAGTACCCTGTGAAATTTAACTCAAATGCCACAGAGATCTGAACTTCCTTTGGGGGTAATGGGATCTCCATGGCAATGAGGCCTGCTGAGAGAGAAACATGGGTTTGGAATTTGATAAAAGATGACTTGGGGGCTGTAAAACACCATCATCCTCATCCCAAAGTGATAATTAATCATGTACTAAAGCAGCCTGGCTCATGAACTGTAGAAAGTCATGGGCTGAGAAATTAGGCTTAAAGAGTCGTGTAAGGAGTTGCCTCATTTTAAAAAAATCCTTTTGGGAAGAAAAACCCCCAGAAAGGTGTGTCATGAAGAGAATATAAATGTGTTCCTCACAGTCCAACACATCAAAGAGCTTGGAGTCTGTAATGCTTTTAGTTGACAAGCTCATGGCACGGTGCCATTCAACACAGGGAAATGGTACAGATTCCATTCAGAAACACAAGGATTGTAGTATATATGGGAGGTCGTCTAGGGTGGCTCTAAAACTATGTGTGCGCCTGCTAAAATAATTCCTTCTTGCTGGGGTTTTTAAACTTGCAGGATAGAATTGTTTGAACAAAGAATTGGTAGTGGAACTGAGAATTTAAGCCCAATTTTGTTACTGCAGTTTCTGGGCTGCTTCTATATAAATTGGAAGCTTGGACGCGTTACATGTTTAAATATAAATATTTAGTTTTAAATATAAATATTTAGTTTTCTAAAAATATACCATATAAATAAATGTGTATATTATATATATGCAACAAACATCAATATTTGTGACTTCATTTAAATACTAAGGATTTTTGAGTCATATAGGATCTGTTCACTTCTATGTACATTCTGTGTTCATTTTCTGCATGTTGGATATAGGTCTAGGCTGCTGGTGGTCACAAATGTTACCCTACGGAAGCTGATGTGTTACACAGTAGTCTGTTCTTTTCCTTTTGTTATACATAAAGGGGTTTACAAACAAAGTTTCAATGTTCTTGTTGCTGTTCTTGACAGTCCACTTCCAATTTTGCTCTTCAGGGGCTATTTGATTGCCGCACCTTCTGTTTTCCGGTCTGGTGTTGAGGAAGCTATAAGCGTAACCATCTTTAATTCTGTCAAGGAGACAACAGTCCAGATCCAGTTAGTTGTCAAAGGAGAAACTGTGTCACGAGGCCATGGCACAGTTCTTGGTGAGTTCCTGTTATTCTGAACTTGAAAATTAGTTTATAAGTTGAGGTGCCGTGAAAGCGCATTGATACCTCATTAAAATTGCTTTAAGTGATAATGGAACTGGAACCAAACTAATATTTAATCTGTTGACTACTGCTAAATGTTCTCAGTTGATTGTGCTAATGGGATTTTGATGTAAGTGATCTCAAACATCCAAGGCTGATAATTTTGGAACACCAGGACATACAGACACCCTGGAAAATTGAAATTCAAGGGTTTTCTAGTGAATATCTTTCTTCTTGAAACCTGAATGTTTCACACTGGGGAGCTGTATAAGGAATAAGATAAGTTGAATTAAAAGAAAAAATATAAATTGTACAACAACAACATCGGTTTTTACCCTTATTTTAAAATGAATGAAAATTCAGCCTTCCCATCTACAGGACCAAGTATTGCTGAGAGAGGTGGTAATACTTTTGCAGTTGGATTAGGCTTTAAAATCCAAGACAGATACCTCTCTGTCCTGTGTGTAAAGACAAAAAGTGTTTTGATTATGTCCAGCTTAATACTGAATTAATTTACATTACTAAAAATGTAGCCCAGTAGCGCTGTTCTACCACTGCTGCTAGTGGTGTGAACTGTAATGTAGACAAGGCTCAGGCAATCAGCCTCTTTAACCATCATGTTTTAACCCTTCTGCGTGTAAAAACTGGGAGTTACATAAAAGCGTTTCTTGGAACAGATTGTCACTGGTTTTATCCTCCCCTTGTCGTCTTTGAAATTGGCTGACAATTGCGAAGTAATTAAAAAAGAGTGATACTTACACATGTGGACAACATATGCTAAAGAGAAATCCTGGGTATGGCTGTATCCAGCAATCAAAATAGATTTTTATGAGTGTTTGTTTTGAGAATTATTCAAGTCCCAAAAGAATCCAGGTCCTTTTTACAGCAAAATACTTCTGTAAGCATAGGATGCTCTGTGCTGAAACCTCAGCCTTGGTGGTGCTCTTTAACCGTAGAATGCTTTTGCCGTTTACCTTGGGCAAAACTTGTAAATTAATGTAGACCAAGTTTATTTTGAAGAACTCTACTAGGTCCAACTTGCTCACCCTGTAGATTGTTTTATACGGTGAAGTAAAATTACTACAGGAGAAATCATAATGAAGAAGTATTTGGTTTAGCAGCTCTACGATATGGGGTCTCCTTTCACTCAACTGCAGATGGCTAAAATGTTATACCTTAGCTTGAGAAGAATAACTGTCTATCTCTCTTTCTCTTTTTAGATAAAGGAACAATTAAACTGAAGGTGAGTGTCAATTATTTTAACATGTTTTTTTGTGAAAACATGAGGGCCTTACCTTCAACCACATCAGCCATTGCTCTGAGCAGCTGAGGGACAAATAGAGGTCAAATTCTGGTGCACACACTGAGGATGAAACCTTCACAAAGAGGGCGAGTGAATAGAACAAAGCTTAATCTATCACAGCTCATCTGTCAAGCCCTTACACCACTGAGGAAAATCAGTGGATGAATCTGTGGTGCATTGCTCAATGTAAAGTTCTGTGTTGTGATTATTTTGTAAGACTGGCAGTACCTATAGTTGGGTGAGTGATGTGGAGCATTGGATAGACTGCAGAAATCCATAGAAATGGCAGGTTATCTATCACTTTCATTTCTAGAAGGCATAATATAGACGTGTAATAGGAAACAGTGATTATACCAAATGCTATAGATTTCTTTATTCAAAGACTATAACTCACTGTTGCATAAAATCTACAGTGTCATTGCTGATTTTGGTTTTATTTTCTTTATTACTGTATGATCAGATTTTTTTCTTTGTAATTCTTAATCTAATGTCATGTAAAAAGTTGGTTCTCTGAGAAACTGGTTGAAAATGTGCAAACATGCATGTTTTGGGTTTTTTGTGTTGTGGGTTTATTGAGGTTTTTTCCCTCTATCAATAGAACTATGTCTTCCATAGAATGGTTGATTTCCCGATGTAACACACCTTCCCTAGTGGAAGCAGCACATATAGATCAAATATAACTTTGCTTGAGTGATAAAGAAAGGGTAAAATAGAATTTCCTGCCATGTTTTTAGCATGACTTTGCCTCCTTTGAAATTTTTGTGTTGTAAAAGATCTAATATGTTCTTCATTTTCCTTTCATTACTAACACATAGTTACACTGAAGTGCAGCAGGTGTCTGCTCTTTGCTCACTTCAGTGTCAGTTGTATTCCCCAGAAAGCTCAAAGGCTTTTCTTTGTCTTCCTCACCTCATGGTCTATTTTCTAGGTGCCTTCAGGACTTCGTGGACAAGCACATCTAAAAGTCTGGGGCAACCGGCATCTAGCAGGGGAGGGCTACATTTTTCACAACTATACCACAGTAACCATCGATAGCAAAGGATCATCAGTGTTCATCCAGACTGATAAACCTGTCTATAAACCCAAGCAGAAAGGTAAAGTGACCTTGAAGAACTTGCCAGATGCTAGGGCTGCTTTCAAGCAAAATTCCTTTTCAAGGGTAGATTACATATATGTGTGTGTGTGTGTATACACTGTTCAGTGCTGACTGTGATGATTAATTAATTTCTTGTCTTCTTTTTTTTAGTGTTGATAAATCTCTTTATGGTGACTTCTGACTTGAGGCCAGTCAATGACAGGGTAAAAAACACTGTTTTCTTTCACATTGTAAAATACAATGGAATACTTGGCAACCTGCATTTTTATACTAATGTACATTTATGCAGAAATATAATTTGTTTTCTTAATCTATTTAGGCATATCTTGTGATTGCTTGTTGTTATTTACAATTTAGTTTTTTCATTTGGTGATGTTACTGCTGAAGGACAATACACATTTTTTTAGTGCTAATAAATGCAATGTAAATATGCCAAAGCAGTTAGAAGAATTATTAAGAGACTTGCACTCTATTTAGGTAATGCACAGAAATACAAAGTACTACTTTTCCATTTAAGTGTGTGAATTAAATGTATGTTTCTCAGGCTACTCTTATCAAAGAAGAGATGTTTAGACTTTGTCATAGTGTGCATCGTACCTTGCTTTTGTCAACTCAATAGTTCATCGCGAGAAGCAGAAAATTAGCTTTGTTTCATAAAGCCTGTTTTTCTTTCTTTTCAGATTGAAGCTTATGTGGTGGTGAGTATCTGTCTGCCAGTCATCTAGCATGTATCCTGTAGAGGCACAAGATTCTTGTGGCCTTAAAAGGAACAACTCACACATCTGTACATTTTCAAGTCCATTATGGCCATTCCCAACTGTAACTTACACAATTATCTTGATCCTTGTGTCTTTAACTGATCTTTGTGTCTTGCTTTTTTGTTACCACCAACAAATATACTTGTTTTCTATTCAGTTTCAGAAATCCATTCCCATTTTTTCTGCCTGAGAAGAATTGGCTATTTTCACTGGGGTTTATAAATGTAACAGTCCCACTCAATTTCTCCCTTCTTTTCAATGCAGACACACTCCTATCCTTCATCTGGCTGGGCTGATATAGCAGGGCCAATCTCATCTCTGCACCCAAACATTTTGATAGTGGACAATAGAAATTCATGGCAAGGAAAGGGTGCACCTGTCTTCTTCCTTATGAGGTGAATGAGAGGTTCCTTCTGTGTCTAGTCTTTTTTTTTTTTTAAAACTGTGTGTTTTCTTTAGCTGTCAGCAAGCAGAAGAATTCACCCACTTCTCTTGTTTGCATTCAATCACAGATTTAATGCTGGCAAAAACAGTGGGATTAATTTCATCTGACTTCGTCATCTAAAAATTGCCTTGCTAGTTGTACAGCTCCCTCTATTCATAGAAAGAAAACGTCTTCAGAGGCCAGTTCATCCCGTCCAAAATAGGTGTCTTACGATAGGTGGGAGATCTGCAGCTTGACAACGCTTACTTGTGCACATTGGCTGTGGAAGCAGTGCTCTTAAATGAGGACTGAATTTTAGAAAGCAAATACCCCCTGGTAAAGTATCTTCAGGAAATGTTCGACAGATGTTAGTTACATTTGAGCTGTTAGTGAAGTGTATATGCTAAGAAATAAAGTTCTTTTTTTTTGCAAACTAAGTTAAAGATATTAGTGATATTCATTTTCACGGTGATGTTTCTCATTCCTAAACCAATATGCAGGATCCTCGGGGGTCTCGTATGATAGAGTGGAGCAATTTGAAGCCATTTTGTTGTGGTAAGTTTGTTTTCTCAGTGTATTGTTATTTGTCTTTGCTTCTGCTTATACCGAGTTGTGTTCAGTAAGCCTGAAGTAAGACTGATGAGTGACATAGAGTTCACAGTATGTTGTTTCTTTTTTCCAGGTATTGTAAATATGAGTTTTCCTTTGTCTGATCAGCCAGTGTTTGGTGAATGGCTCATCTTTGCTGAAATGCAGGGGCACACATACAACAAATCATTTGAAGTTCAGAAATATGGTGAGTTGTATCCAAATCAGCCTTGATGATAACCCAAGTGCATTTGGAAGAACAAAACATTATGAAATGTTTTTTACTTGAGGTGAAACACCTGAGAATTAATTCATTTAAATGTCATGAGAAAAATTCTTTCGACTCTATGCACTTCAGGGATATAGACACTTGAACACACATCCCTCGGAAAAGAAGTGAAAATCTAAGTGTGTGTTGCTAAGGTCATCTTGTCAAGATGGTCTTGGTTTGCTACTTTTGTTGATTCATTTTCTGCTGTGCACCGTCCTGCCTGATGTTAGCTACACTGCCCTCATCTGACCATAAGCAGTGATCTTGTCAGAGCTGTGTGTTCTTTTGTTAGAATCTGGACAGTAAGATCTCCTTGAAAAGATTTTGTTGTTTTGCTTTTTTTTTTTTTCATTGTAGTATTACCAAAGTTTGAGTTGCTGATTGAGCCCCCTTGCTACATTCGTGACCTTTCACTGTGTGAAAAAGGAACTGTCCATGCCAGGTAGGAACATGTCCCAAACAGAGTTTCGTTACTATAGATTGTAGTACAGCCACATGATGGTGCAGTCACTGAAGCTTGGACCTCATCTGCTGCAGCCTTTTCAGATGGTTTGTGGTCATCATCAGAAACTTTCCTGTGTAAGAGCCTTCATAAAACATGTTAACAATAACAAGCAGGAAAGCCTTCTGTGATATTTTTTTCTGTTTTCTAGATGTGCAGGTCACATGGTACTAGCCTTGATATAACCAGGAAAACAGAAAACAGCTGGAAGTTGTAAATTATCTGCTTTCCATTTCAGATATACATTTGGAAAACCAGTGACAGGAAAGTTAATTGTCAATATGACTATAAATGGTGTAGGGTACTACAGGCATGAAGTGGGCCACCCTGTCCTCAAGACCACCCAGGTGAGGGAGACCATTGAGTCAGCTGTGATAAAATGCCTGATCTGTACTCCTTGAAGTTAGTGACACAGCTTTATTTTATGTCACTGATGGGAGATCAGAAAATAAATTAATAAATGGGATAGTTGGGTCAAGCATAATAAAAATATTGCATATTTTTACATGTTATGTTTATGATTTGAGGGGATGAGAATTTATTAGCATAGTGTTCATCTGTTTTTAGAGCATATGGGGCTGAGGGAGATTGTACAAATGAGGGACTGCAACAGAGCTAGTCCAGACTATGGATAAGAGAGGAAAATGAAAACTTGCTTGCTTTCTTCCTTCCTTCCCCCACTCTTCCATTAATTCTCTCTACTCCACATCTTTTAAAATACTGCTACAAACTCCTAGCATGTGCCTATGCTTTAGGTTTGACTTCTAGCCCCCTTTTGAATGTGAATGTAAACTTATGTTTCTGTTCCCCAACACACTGTAGATTGATGGCTCTGCTGTTTTCAATGTATGTGTGAAAGACATGATGCCAGCTGATGTTCCAGAGCATTTTCGAGGCACAGTCAATATCTGGGCCACAGTAATCAGCTCTGATGGGAGCAAGCAGGTTACGTTTGATGACTCAACACCAGTTCAGAAACAGCTGATTGATATCAAGTACTCTAAGGATACCAGAAAACAGTTCAAACCTGGACTGCCTTACAAAGGAAAGGTAAGAGTAGAAGTAGAGACACTGTCATGGGGCTGATACAAGGTTCTATGGAATTGATCCCGGTGTGTTACACCATGTTCTTGTGTGTTTTTTCCCACCTGCTGTTTCTGTCATTGACTGGAATTGCCTGTAATTTAAATCCCATTGTTCTGTAAATGAAACATTGTAGGTAGAAGTCACTTACCCCGATGGAAGTCCAGCTGACAGAGTCACTATCCGAATTAAAGCTGAACTCACGCCAAAGGACAACGTTTATACAAGTGAACTGGTATCAAGAAATGGCCTGGTGGAGTTTGAAATCCCCTCCATCCCTACAGCTGCCCAATATGTTTGGCTGGAGGTGGGTGAAAGCTCCTTATAGGATTAGCGGGCTTTAATGTAACTAATCTTGTCAAACCTGCACTTTATAAATCAGTGCTACAAACAGGAAATCAGTGCCTTTTAGCTTCAACTTCTTGATTTTTAAATGCAGCGAACACTTGCTTTGTTTCTTGCTGCTAATAGAACTGATGTTGATAACCATCATGAAAATATGCTTCTCCAAATACAGCTTAACGTAGTAGTAAGTGTCCAATATTTGGAGATTACTGTTGCTATGTAAAGACGACAAGAGATGAATATCTAGGAAGTACAAAATGGGAGGTGGGGACACAGGGCAAGAAGAGACTACAAATCAGCCTTTCTATGCATGCATAACATTCAGATGTAACTTCTGTTAAGACCAAAGTGACAGCGATTGATGGGAAACCGTCTGGGGATCACTATCTGCCAAACTACTTGTCCATCAGTAGCTGGTATTCGCCCAGCAAATGTCACATCCAGCTCCAGGCACCAGATAAACCTTTCCAGGTATGTTGGCTTCATATTCCACTGTGGCAATAACTGCATTTCTTGTGTTAAAGTACTTTGTTCTAACTAAATATTTCTAGCCATTTCTGTTTCTGAGATCCAGGACTGTTACTGTTTCCACTGCAAAGGTTGAAGGAGCTGCATTTCAGCCACCAAATAATAGTTGAATGTGGGCGGCGCACAGTTCTAATCAAAGTGCCTTTGATGCTTTGCACAGCATCTCATTCTTCTTTGAGTTGTGGGGGCAGGAGAGAGGGGAGGGATATAGGCACTGCCAACACTCAAGTTTTTCATATTTTGAACATATATTCTGTGCACCTCCAGGAACATTCACATAGGAATTATTTAGTGAAAATGATGTGCTTTAGTTCAAGTCAACAAAAGCTGAAAGACTGGAGGTGGAGTTAGTGGGAGTAGCTTAATGACTAAAGATCCAAATTAGGGCTGTGTAGTCTCACTAGAAGTTCCACTTTGAATCTCACCTGAATCTGTTTAGTCTTCAGTTATCAAACTATTAACATATTTATCTTGTTTTCTTTTGTAGTTTTTGTTGGAGCCTCTCTAAAAATGTAGTCCTTTCCTATAAAAGTTGTCATGATCTCTCTCGTAAAGCAAAGATCTGATTTAACCATTATTTCTGTTGCATATTGTTTAGGGTTTGTCCTCTACCTGAGAAGATTCTCTGAGGGTCTGTGTATTGCCTTGTGGAAAAAAATAAGTGGTTTTTGGCAATATACTCACTTAGATTTCTATTATCAGCAGATCTGTCAAGTTAGTTTCAGACTCTGTATCCAAATAAAAGCTTTTTTTTTATCATTGCATTTCATGGTGGTTTAATGGCTAATTAATCTTTTACAAGTTTCCTGAGGTATGGAAAGGGGATTATACACTGCTAATCTGAACACATTGTTCTTATTATAACCTGATTAGAACTAATTCTTCTGTGGGAAAGCTAGGAGTTGGATGACCAGCTGATGTGGGAACTGTTTCCCTGCCTTGCCAGCTCTTACTGGGTGTTCCAATTAGCTACATTCATTTTTTAATGAATTGTTTCATCATTTGCACTGGGGAATTCTTAATACTTCAAATATTTAATGTCACGAGGCACTTCTTGGATTCTGTGGCATTCTCACTGCATTTAACCATTAGCAGCTCCTTGTACTCAAATCCTTGCCATTTTGGTTTGTACTGTATGTACATTCTGGCAAGGTAACAGTGTCAGTGCTGAAGAAAGAGGTTTTCCAAAATATTTCATTGGAGTTTAACATTACCATTCGGTCTTAACAGCCTTAGTTGAGCATTGCTATGCTTTGAGTGGCAGGAGGATCAGGAGTGGAAGTTGCTGAAGAAATTCTACTTAATACAAGTCCTAGCTGCTCCTCAAATCCCAGAAGCAAGAAGCCCGTGTTCCTAGGAAAGTCAGCTGCTCCACAGAAGGTTTATTACTCAGCCAGACAGGACCCAGTCCCAATCCCATGGTATTGAGAAAGATCTGAGCACTGATGTCTGTTCTGTTGGGACTTGTGGTATTTGGGAGATTTTGCCTTCAAGGGATTCAGTACTTAGCAAGTACCTCTGGGTGTAGAACTTCAGTGCACAGAAAGTGCAGGAAGTCAATGTACTGCTCTAAAGCTTATTGCAGGCATCAGATGAATTTACTCAGAAAGAAAGAAGCTCCCTTCTTGTTTATTTGTATGTTTGACAGCTCCTTGAATGCCAAACTTGCAAATTAATATAAAGACTTGTGTAATTTGAAAGCATTTTCCCTCAGATCTATTCCCAGTAATTTCATGCCACATTGGTTATGTTTGAATTAGTATTTGCCATATGAAAGTAATCACCGTGTATAATCTGAATTGAACTGCAAAGACTATAAAATGCACATCTCTTCCCACCCCCAATCCATCTCTTTCTTTTTAGGCTGGGCTACTGAAGGGGTGTCTAAAATTCAACGAATTCTGATAGCTGCTCTGTGCCAAAAGGCTTAACTTTCAGGATTCCAGAGATTCCTTTATTGTTTTCATTAATGCATACAACGCCCCCAGCCCATTCCCTGTTAGACTTACAGGGAGTGAAGAGCTGAACACAGGCCCTTTTTTATTGTGAAAAGCTCATGAAAACAGTGCTAACGTAATACACTTTTCAGTGCATACATTTCTTAGAAGAGGGGTCACATCTCTTGTGGTCTGAAACCCAAATAGATTTCTGTGCTTTATAAATAAAAAGCATGCATTGTAACAGACCAGATCTTTTGCTTTCCTGTCTCTGGGTGCAGGTAGGAGAGGAGGCTTGGATTGCAGTGAAGTCCACATGTCCTTGCAACTTCACTCTACATTATGAAGTGGCATCGCGAGGCAACATTGTCCTTTCAGGACTGCAGCCCAGTAACGTCACCCAGCAGAGGAGCAAAAGAGCCACCTTTCCTTTTGAGAAGAACATTGATATCACACGCTTCCCAGAAACAGGTAGCTAGCATCAGAAATGCAAAATTGCCCCTATTTTCAGGGACAAAGAACCTTTCTGCAAACCTAAATATCCTCTTTTTTTGAGTTTGATGCTCATCAATAATTTTATGCAAGAAAAATAGTGATATCCATTGCACATGTAGTCATATAGAAAAAAAGATAATTTTTTCCAAGAGGGAAACTTGGAGAGTTTTCTGTAGTCTTTCTCTGTTCAGAAAACTCTAGGCTTTCTTAATATGGTCTACTTGGGATCAGTTGAGTGGTGGGGAAGCATATGTTGGGGCTGGAGGAATTTACTAAACTGGGAAAAGGTCTTTAGATGGACTGACTGATATAATGGATCAGGCTAAAGGGGAAGATCATGCAGTTAGTATGAGGAAGGAAAATGAAGTATAGGCTCGTAGTTTGTACAATAAATAACAGAAAGATACAAATCTGGTGAATTCAGGGAACACAGGAATAAAGAAGGATATGCTTGGGAAGATGCATGCAATGCCTGCCAAAGGAAAAGTCCATCTATCGTAGAAACATGTCTGCAGCAGCAGCCAGTTTCAGATAGTTAGGGGAAAATGTAAAAGGAACTTCCCTAGATGTACTCATCCAGCTTGTGGTAATCAATGGTTTAAGAATTTGTAATAACTTTCTGTGCTGAAGTTTGGTTCTGCGATGTTGCAGTTACAAGTTGCCCAGAGACACTGTGGCTGGCCTGTCGTTGGAAGTGTTTTCAAGGTTGGGTTGGATGGGGCTTTCAGGAACCTGATCTAGTGAAAGATGTCCCTTGCCCACAGCAGGGAGGCTGGAACTAGATAATCCCTAAAGGTCCCTTCCAATCCAAACCATTCGATGATTCTGACTACTGCCAGTGAAACGATGCTCTATATGATCCTAGGATCATATCTACAGGATCATATCTAGGATCTACATGATCCTCCTTTCAAACCCATTTATACTTCTTCTCTCAGCAGTGTTCTGCAGTAAATAGGTACCTTCTTTTATTTATTTTAAATGGCTTGATATCTTAACTGTATATTTCCTTGATTTTATATGAGGAGAAACACTAGGTAGTCATTCTTTATCCCTTCTCCATACTTCTCATTATGTTTTGGGTGCTAATTACCTGCCAGCTTACACAAGGAAAAGAAAAAGGAGGGGAAAAGATTTTGAGTTCAAGAAGAACATGTGTAACAGGAACAAGGGAAGGATGCAAATCCTGTATGGAGAGTTCTGTGCCTCACAGAGTTTGGATGGGGCAGGAAGGGAGTGATTTTGATGAATAACACTGTCCTTTTTACAATTTATTTTTTAGCACCTACCAGTATCCCTGCAGCAGAGGTTGAAGTCTGTGTGACATTCCTCCGCTTCTCAGTAGTTCACAACATGGCTCCCTTGGGCCGTCTTCTGGCGTATTACATCAGGGAGAATGGAGAAGGGGTCACGGACAGCCTGCAGTTCACTGTGAAGTCCTCCTTTGAAAATCAGGTATGGGCAACGTAGCCAGTGGAGAGGAAGAGATGATGTCTTGTTACTCTTCATCATTTTGTCTCCTGATTAGGAGTCGAGATGATTAGAGTTTATGTTAAATTCCTAGGTTGCAGTGGCCATCTCAGCAAATGAGACCAGACCTGGTGATGTTGTGAACATCAAGGTCAGAGCTGCAAAATCAAGCTGTGTCTGCATTGCCACTGTGGATAAGAGTGTCTACTTGCTGAGGACAGGTTTTCAGCTGACGGCCAGTCAGGTAAAAGGAAGCTTAAGGCACTGATGTCTTTTTCTTAATACTGCTCTCTGCACTTTAACTTTAGTAAGTAGCCTTTATACCTAAGGACAGCAATCTCTTTCCTTTCCCTGCAGGTTTTTCAAGAGCTTGCAGAATATGATGTATCTGATGCTTTTGGAGCTCCAAAGGAAGAAGGGCACTTCTGGTGGCCAGGCATGTCCTCACGTAGACGCCGTAGATCTTCTGTCTTTCCCTGGCACTGGGACATCACCAAGGATGCTCGCTTCGCGTTTACAGTAGGAAGAATCAGCCTCACTTCTCTAGGGAGTGTCTTTTTAACTTTCATGTTTGCAGGATAATTTTCAGCTCCATAGGCCATTATTTTTTCTCACATCAGAGCTGTTTCTCCAGTGGCTAGGCTGAAAAGTTATTTCTGAGAACAGAGAGTACACTGTTCCAGTAAAGATATTGGAAAAACATGCTTTGATTTTGGCCAGTCTTGATGGTCGGGTGTCCTGTTGGGTGAAGGAAATCATGCTGGTGCTCTGGTGAATCAAACGAGGGACCAGAAGGTCCCTCCAGGCACGGCTGAGTGTGCCGATCTCCCTTGCAGTTACTTTGACAGGGAAAGAAGGTGGAACATGGGTCTTTCCTTATGGCCTTGTCCCTTTTAGACAATCCTTTGGAAATCCTTTAAACTTATTTCCTGCCCCAGTTCTGCCAGCTTCTGCCAGTGCGCAACTGTGTGATAGATCAGCAATGTTTATATCTTTGATCAGGTTACTCTGATCCTCTGTCTCTTCATTCTTTGTCCTTTCTGCAAGTTTAGCTAAACTGTCCTATTGTATTATCTTAAACCCTGTAGGCTTCCATATATTCCCACAATGCCTCAGTTTCTTAATTGTAAACTCTAAATCCTCATTGCTATCTACTACTGCAGGAGTCTCTACTTCTTTCCTCCCTGTGATCTGTTGGGGTTTTTGTTCTGATACTTTTTTTTCTTACTGAGAGGCATAAACCCGTGAAAAGATGTGTAAGTTAATAGCTGGTATGTATGCATTGCTGTTCATCTGATTTGTAATCAGTGGGTGTGTATAGAAAGAGAACAAAGCTCATACTTCCCTGGTGTCTGGGAACTGCTGTCTCTTATGAATAAGTGCATTTAGGGGACAGAGCTGGCAGACAGCTTTCTTATGAATTCTTTATTTTTACTCTGAAGCTGTGTGGACAGTTTCCATTTTGCTTGGCATCCCTGGTAGTGCAGAATCAGTGATGTCTGATGTGAGAGCTGCTTGCTAACTGCAACAGAACACACTGGAAACTTTTAGGAAGGGTAAAAAGCTGTAATGTAATATTCTAGGGGAAAAATATGTGTAATAATTCTTCACCTGTAGCTGCTTGACAGTTACACATGCCCAGTAATGTTAGATACTGGTTTAAATGCATTTTCCAAGCAAACAAGAGCTTTCTCAGAAAACCTCTGCCTATAAAGTGTCTACATATTTTCACATTAACAGTCATTTTTATATAAAGTTTTTAAAAAATCCTCAAGTTTTAATTGAAACTTTCCCCATAAATGTTGGAATAAGGTTGGAGGATTCTACTCAGAAAAGTTTTTATTGGTACATGCTTAATTCTTTTTCTTCCTTCCCTCCTTCCCTCCTTCCCTCCTT